AATTGTTTGGGGACTATCCCCCACGTTCTAGTTGAGATGGTATAACCCAAGAGGCAAATTGACGCTTGCTACTGTTGTTGCGAGTTGCCATTCGTTCTACTAAACCATTAGTCAAACGCCATCATGCCTTCTGTCGTTATTACACAAACAAAAATCTCTTTACTGTTACTAGTGTTAGCGCCTCAATATGGCTACGCTCGTGAAAGCAATACAACGAACTCAAACGCGTCTTCGTTCAATGTTGTCAACTAATATCCGGATTATGCAAATTTTTCTCAATTCTCCGGAGAAATTTTCAAAAAAATTTGAAAAACCCGGAATTCCGGGAAAATCCGGAGGACTTTCATCTCTGCAATAAGGCTCGAATGTAACAAAATGTGGAAAAAGTCAAGTGCTGTGAATACTGGATGAACTATACAGAGTCATATACACCTTGGCGAGGTAGTCATGAATGTTGAGTGTCCCAAGCTTAGTGAGGTGCCCGTTGAGGCCCAGCGCCATGAGGAAGCCAGCATGCTCATTGGCCATCTCTTGGTTCTTGTTCTTGTTGTAGACGATCCAAGCTGAGTCCACCTGAACACACAAGTGGAGCGCCACTTCATTTCTTTACGCATGGTCATGAGAACATGTCACAACTCTGTGTAGAGACTCACCTGCGACGCGGGTGCAATCTTGAGTCCGGCAGCCACGCCGTTGTGGAAGCTGGGCCAGCTGGGCATGTTGGCAGGGACATCAATGTTCCCGCTGTTCAAGTCGACCATGGTGTTCCTGGGCGGGGCACGACCTGGGCCGCGTAAAAACATGCAACATCTTGAACGATGCGTATCCTCAGTAATATCAAAATGAATCAATATTTTGACTGAAGCAATTTCATATGTTTTCGTCTGAGTTCCCCCTGGCAGTAACGTTACCTGAATTTACATGCAAGGAGGTCCAACACATAAAAGGGTTTATAGTATAGATCAGGCGTGCCAAACAACCGGCCCCCGGGCCGGAACCGGCCCCCAAAGAGATTCGATCAGCCCCGCAGGATAATTTAAAAATGAAAAAAAAATGCATAAAAGACACGGAATGAATATTTTTAATAAGATGCAATTTATGCATTATCCGATAGGGGGCACACTGTTTACTCTTTAGTTTGTAAAGTGTAGGCAGGGATTAAATTGAGATGTGTAAATGGTTTAAAAAATCCTTTCTATATAAATCTCATTTAATCTTAATATGCATGACTATATTTTTCAATACCAATTACTTGTTCAAGTTTTGTGCCTTTGTACAATCAGTGGGATCAGTTGCAATGCATATATGTGAATGATGAGTAAATTGCATATTTGTCTAAGGAAATCTAAGGTGTTTCATGAAATGTTTTGTAAAAGATATGTTCATTAAATGTCAACATTTTCCTAATGTTCTTGCGCTTCACTGGACCAAAACAAAGGAAAGATATGATATTTGGGTTATTTATAGAAGAGTATGGTATAATTTTAATGGTCCGGCCCACTTGACATCGACCGAGGCCGTATGCGGCCCACAATGTGAAATGAGTTTGACATCCCTGGTATAGGTCATTATATGAATGTGGGCATTTGTGAATTATTGCTATTCGCATTAGAGCCTGGAACCTAAACTACATGAATTCATTACCTGTGAGGTTAAGCTTAGGGATGGCTAACAGTTCCGTGGGCACAGGCTGGTAGGAGAACAAAGTGAAGAGGCCCCTTCCCACTGGGAGGGACATGGTCCTTTGACAGAGCTGAAGGAGTCTAGAAAAGGTGCAAGGTGATGAAGAGGGTGTTAAAAGGACTAAACGACAGATAGTATTTATTGTTTCAATGACAAAGCCAAAGGGGACTCGCTTGTTCTCTTTCTCCTCGATGTACTCATGATCTGAGACCTCTGGGAGCTGGACGACACAGACCTGGACTGGCTTGGAGCTCTGCAGGAGCCTGCGGACCTCCTGGACTCTCAGATCCTGACTCCAGATCAGTCCTGTGACCTGTTGAGTGCGTGAGATAACATTTACTTCAAATGATACCTACCTTGCGGATGTGCGCTGTGCTCAACGACCGCCGTTACCTCTTGGATGATGTCCGACATTCCGTCCTCATCTTCGTCAGCCTCTGTGGTCGCGGGAGGCTCCAAGGACAAACTAGACCCCACAGACTGGACACACGTGCCACAGAATCATACAGTGACTTGATGAAGTATTTACACCATGCTAATGATGACCAACTCCTATTTATACTGACAGTTTTGCTTTTCGCCAGGGTCATGTTGTGGGCCTGTCTGGTGCGATCCTGCCGGCCGATTAACAGGCAAACCTCCTCTGACCAGTCGGCGCAGGGCTGTTCTCGGCAGTGGTAGATGGCATCTCGAATGGGCAGGGCCACTCCAAAAGGGACGGACTCCAGGTCCTTGAGAGTGAACCCTGAACCGCAGAATCCAAAGCAACAAAATATATCCGGGAACAAGCATAATGGCAGAAAAAGTGTGATAAAAGAGACAAAAAGATATTAACCTTGCGAGGTGAGCCAGACAACGAGCTGCTCAGCCAGACTCTCGTTGCAGGATTTGACTTGATTCATACTCGTTTGTCTGGAATACAGAAAAACACATCTCATGAATACATTTTAATTATTAAAATGGATAAAATACATCGACAAATGAAGGTACCCCATGTCTTGTTTGATTTAAATTGCAATGATGTGCTTATTGCTTCTTTAAATACATGATGTTTTTAACTAACAGGAGATCAATCCAGCTCCTCAATTCATGTTAACATAGTTCTTTGGCATCATTTATATATTTGCAATATATCCCTGCTGTACTAAGCTTCTATTGATTTATCATTGAGTTGTTTATGATGTTTCATCGAATACATCTCCAAAATATTACTTTTTGTTCAATGTTGGCATCAGCGCTTCACCGCACTGTTGTATGGATTCTTTTTCCGTTTGTGTTAAATGTAATTGACAATGGCTCATCAGAGCACTGTAAGCTGATTCACCTTCTGTACTGCTCCTCAGTGGTCTTTTGGCCTGAGGAGGGAAAGACAGAGAGAGGTCGAGGGGGGCTCAGTAATTAGCACCATCATCAGCCATCCACAGCTCTAGTGTATTGTTTCTATTCAGCGGGTGCAAATGGAAAACATGGGTGTGGAAATTGCACGTTCAATGCTCAATTGTTCCTGTGTTGGGAGAAGATGGCATTTGGGTGAACAAAAACAATAACAAAAAGCCAGGATGCGGTCATACTAAATAGAAAATAAATACAAGTCAATGGGCAATTTTCAACACCCCATCAAATACCCCAAATGAGCTTTCATCATCACAGTATCCTTTTCAAAGCAAAATCATTGCATCACACGCCTTTATTTTTGCTTCCTGAGCCGGTGCCCGGGAGTTGACAGGTAATAAAAGCGGCGCGTCAATGCCGCGCCCCCTCCTCCAAACACACACACACACACCTATAGTGGTTAACATGTAGGCTCATTGAGTATACACACTGACCTGCAGAGAGCTTCACCAGGTACTTGGACACATTGGATGTCGTGGCTTTGTCGTCACCGCCGATGTAGAGAGCGTAACTCTGATGATGCAGAGGGCAAACGAATAGTTACTGCAGTAATTATACACGATAACAATCAAAGTGGATGTTAACTTTCTGTCCGAAACCTTTAATCATGGCTCACAGTTTTGTACCCTTTTATTCTTTGCAGTATGATTTTTGAGCAGGAAACGCAAACTGGTCCACAGGGCAAATATAAAAACGATTTGAACACTAACAAGCATGTCTTTGGAATGCAGGAGCAAGTATGAGAAAACCCATAAAGGCACGGAGAGAACGTAAATTCAACACAGGAAGGGCAGAGGTGAGATTATATCCCAAGAACTACTGATGGTGAGGCAGGTATGTTTACCACTGCGTAACTGTGCTGGCACCTTAACCATCACAAAATAATTGTAGAAAAGTGAAACTTGTTCTCTTCACATTGTACATAACATGGAAGGCAGTGTTCCTTGCTGAATGAATCAAAGGTTGAACTCAATTGCTGTCCTGGCAAATTACAATGTGTGCACTTTTCTATCGATAATTGCTTTCCATGCAACACACACACACACACACACACACACACACACACACACACACACACACACACACACACACACATACGCACACACACACACACACACAGAACTCTTTACCCTCACACACGCAAACTCTTAGCATGTACAAATACTTCACAACTATTTTTATGTATTTATTTTTTTAATTGTGGACATCTTTAATGACTTGTGTGGGTTTGCATACATGAGCAGACGTACCAAAACCAACAGCCGGATCCTTAGGCAGACATCGGGCAGGTAGGGGAAAGGCTGGACATCCTCCCCTCGGAGGCAGCTACTGAGCCAGCTGAAGACACAGGGAGGCTCCGCACGGAGAAAAGACGGATGCTGCATCTGAGCAATCAGAGCTGAAAGCAAATGAGAAGTGTGAAAAGTGGCATTTTCTGCAGCCCAAAATACTATCACTGTTGAATTATGAAGACTTACACTGGTCTATGAGGTAGCTCTCTGTGAATCCATTGATTAATGAGGGGTAGTCTCTCCAGTACAGATCCATGTAGTCCTCCAATTGCAAGTCTCTGCAAGGACAGGGCAGAATTTTTGGGAGGTGAAAAAGTGTAAAATAAAAAAAAAAAAAAGGTTTATTTTCATAATAAACTAATAATTGCGTCCCTTTCATTTCAAATAATGGTATTCAAAAAGATGATGTACGTGTAGCCTAAAATTGCTCAAAAGGAGTCACTGTCTGATTATTTACACATGCAAATGAATGGCATCTCTGGACACATGGCCACTCGAAATGTACATCTCTGCCTCAGCATGGTGCGTTTGCTACTCTCAGAATAATTGTTGTGTCACACTCCGTGCTATAAATATTTCACCTGCCTTCCCTTCATCTTCACGCAACGAGTGCAGGAAGACGAGGAGGATGGGGAGGATGAGAAGGCGGAGGCCTGAGTGCTGCAAGATGACAGCTGGCATACAAGATGATGATTTCAGCAGCTTTTCGAAGAAACATAAAGGCCCCAGGACTATTACATAGTAAGAAAACGCACGTCCTCGCCGCATACTTGTATGCGACCCTATGCGTATACAGTAAAAATGCGTGTTTAAAACCAGGACAAAAATCGGCTCTCCTCTCCCAGTGACATTCGGCTTTGTATTGCGGTGGTAATTAAATGCATTCTGAGTCAGACACATTCACTTTGTTTAAGTTCACATAATCAATAGTTTTTAATCTAGCACGAGCATTTCCCCCCCACACAGCTTTGCGCGTTCATTTATCCAAGTGAGTGATTTTAAAAGGTAGCAATGAAGTTAAAAAAAAAGAAAGATGTGGTGCTATGAGAAAAGCAGAATAGAAGCAACAAGAGAGCTGATAGACCTCACCAGGGTTTTCACATTTCTCAAACTTCAAAGTAAATATCAAATGTAATACATACACTATTCACAAAAAGTAATTCTAAAAATGTTTCCACCAATAAAGTGGCCAATAACATGTACAACTCAAATTAAATGTTTTTTGATCATATTGGGAAGGGGTTTGGGGTAAAAATAGACCTCACCCTGGTACAGTATAACTGTGATGTGGCTGGTTTCAGAAATGATCAATCACATTCAAAAGGATGTTAAATGGGGTTCAGCAAAAGTTACAATTGAAAGTGCCCCTGAATCGTGATTATCCCAAATCAATTTCAGCTGTTCTAGTAGGCTTTCACGGACATTTTTACCTGGGTATCAGCCAGATCGTAATGCGTGTAATGTGTATGGGAGATTATACTAGGACTGAACATTTTGGCCATCATCCCAAAACGTGTGTTTGACGCCAACACAACATTGCTCGTCACCAAAATTTGAACAGGAGTGTGAACACTTTTTATTTCCGCTGTATGCCTCTGGTCATGGGTTAAAATATTTGTCCTAACTGCACTCCTGCTGAACAAACCACGCTGTTTCCCCTCAAAGAGCGGTGTGCAATCAGGCCTCTTCAGCATGACAAGAAACAAACTCGCAAAGGTTAAGTGAGCGCCATGATTGGTGACAATGACAGACAACAGGGAGTGGGAGGCAAAAGCGCTCTTCAGTGTAATTGTCCAGCACTGGCTTTTGTCACGAGAGGCTCAACAACGAAACAACCATGGCATTTTATTTTGACTTTGCAACTGTTCAGCTGACCAAAATTCGGTCTGAATGTCAATGGAGGCATTCTAAGAATGAATTTTGTTTATGGAGTGCTGTTTTTGTTACAAGTGTTGCTGCATGCTGATTGTAAAGGCGGCCATGTGAAGGTGCCAAGCTCTCACTACCAATCAGCCTGAGATGAGAAGCTCATTAGTTTAGGTGAAGTCCCTGAATTCCCCGAAGAAGCACAACATAAACAGCCACCTCTACGCAGAGACCCTGATAATCGCCGAAACCAAAAACGTAGTATTTATCCCACTTTCCCTTTCAAACCAAACCCAGTGAGGAAATAAAGCTACAACTCTTCTTGTCAAACTGGATAATTAATACACACCAGCACTCCACTCGCATACAAACCAAACTATTGTCTGTGTCTGTCCATTAACACCATTCCCATGACCAGCAGTGTATAGAGTTGCAACAAAAGGCGACGTGATTCAACGCACAAAGAGACAAACCGGCGGTTACCTCGCAAGTTGCTGCAGAAGACACACGAGGGACGAGGCCCTCTCTCGGTGCAGCTCGTTGAGCAGCAGCTCCTGGTAGAGCAAGTGCAGAACGTAGAAGAGGGTTGGAATGTGAGCGAAGAGGGGTGCCGTGTTGTCCAAGGTGGCGGAGGGGGGCGATGCCTGGAAATCAAACACGGGACGCAGGAAGTCAGTTGAACAATTCAGAAGCTTTTCTTTCGTACACTTGTCTCTGCTGTATCTTGATATTTAGCGATTTGGTCGCAGACCGACGAGAGGTCCTCCTCGTCTGGGATGACTTTCGCGTTAAAGCCACTAGAGTCTGCTGGTCTGTTGACACGGTGGGAATCCATCTGGTGGTGGTAATGACATCCCAGCAAGTATTCCCAGTCCTTAACAGGAAACAGGCACATGCACATGGTTTTGATAACTGGTAATTATTAGAATAGAATGTGGAAGTGTTGTAGCATTGTTGGATTTACACTGTATGACACAATTCCCATTTTATGTGTCGTACAAGTGCGCCATGACAACCTAAACGCTGTGATAATCTCGAATTAGTGGTTCAGAAAGTAAAGTTGACTTGAACTTGAAGAAAATGTTTTCTTGCGCTTCATAATCCGATTTATGTATTATTATTATTTAAAAAGATCCATTCATTCATTGCACCTAATAACTTGAGGTCTGCAAAACAAATACAACTATTAAAGTAAATGTAAACTGAAATTTACATTGTTTGAAATTGCACCACTGAAAATACAGTTTGCTGCTCTGCACAATGTGAATTGAAGAAATCAAAACTGTTGATTGTATTAAAAAAGTGGCCATCCATTAAATTCTCATATTTCTATTGTTTAAGCCCTTGCTTTAAAAAATAAATAAAAACGGCGCCCCAAATTCAGTCTTTAATTAGCAAAACAACTCTGCAAAGAAAAAAAAAGTTATTTAAAGTCTCATTTCACAGTGTACAATGTTTTTGATTAAAACTTTTGAAAGAAAGTTATTCAAATTGATTGAGATGCACCCGTCTAACAAAGCATAGCTTATTATTTTAGATACACACCTCATCAGAGCCTCCATCACAGGGACGCGCTTTCTTGGCCGCAATCACCGGCGAGAGCGGTACTTCAAAATTCAGCTGG